CAACTCTACACACGTGTATTTCACTTGTGGAAAACTGTCGATTTGCACAGTGTTTGGGTTGGGCATTGTTGCCCATATCAACTTTCTTTTTTCTCGTAAGTTCTCGCGCGTTTAGAGATGCGCCACACTCGCGTTTTAGGTGCAGGGATGCCAACCAATGCTTACCTAACTTTTTAAAGGTGCTAGTTTTAACCCTCCACCAAATCTACTTACGTGTATTTCATTTGTGGAAGTCTTTCGATTTGGACAGTGCTTGGGTGAGAGATTTTCGCCCATAACAAGTTTCTTTTGTCTCGCAAGTTCTTGCGCGTTTAGAGATGCGCCACACTCGCGGTTTTGGTGTCGGCATCTCAAACTATGCTTACTGGACTTTTCGAAGATGCTAGAGTTGGCCCTTTCTTAAATCTACACAGGTGTATTTCACTTGTGGAAGTCTATCGACTTGGACAGTGTTTGGGTTGGAGATTCTCGCCCATATCTATTTTCTTTTGTCTCGTAAGTTCTCGGGCGGTTAGAGTCGCGCCACACTGGCGTTTTAGGTGCAGGGATCCCAACCAATATTACCTAACTTTTTAAAGATGCTACTTTAGCCCTCCCCTAAATCTACACACGCGTGTTTCACCTGTGGAAGTCTATCAGTTTGGACAGTGCTTGGGTGAGAGATTCTCGCCGATATCAACTTTCTTTTCTCTTGTAAGTTCTCGTGCGTTTAGAGATGCGCCACACTCGCGTTTTAGTTGCGGGAATCCCAACCAATGCTTACCTAACTTTTTAAAGATGCTAATTTTAGTCCTCCTCCAAATCTAGGCACGTGTATTTCACTTGTGGAAGTCTATCGATTTGGACAGTGCTATTTACGGTGTAGAATGAAAAAAAGAAATGAAATTACAGTAGTGTACTAGCTGCTAGCTGTAGTAACCTCAATTCAGGGAGAATTAGCGGGGAGGTGGTAGGGGTATTAAACAAAATTCTATACGGGGAGGTCCAATCCCTTGTCCTGTTATATACCATTTCGTACAGACAAGGTAACCCTTTCGCATACCTTCCAAAGAAAATATACCGATTGCTTTGTTGTTTTGTATTCTGATTGGTTCATTGTGTCTTGTCCGTTTGTTTTGATTGGTCAGATCAGATTATTCCTTTGGGCTTACGATATTAGTTAGAACAGCAGTCAATTTTCAACAGAACTGATACGTGTCGACCTTCAATGCCTACAATAATGCATTGTACGCTGAAACTGAAAATTAACTGAAACTTAGTTTAGGATCGATATATTAAATACAGTCGTTTATATAATGCTTTAATACACTCTGACCTTATACAGATGACACTGTATACTTTTCTTCCTTCCCTTGGGGACTGGAAACGATAACCTATATGTAAGCATACTAAGGTGATAAAAAATTATGTTGTAGCTCAAAAATTTAATTCTAAGGAAGGTAAAAGCTGTTACAAGCTGTTACATTAACACGCAAATAAACATGGGTGTAACTAGGACATAATTAATTTATGACTGATTTGCAGAAAGCTATCTAAAAAAATACATTGGATCACAACTAAAACAACTACCAGCCTCATTTGTTTATAGCTGACAAAAGATCCACGAGTTAGGTAGCACACTGAGTGCGCTCGGTGTAGTCTTCAATCATTGTCACGTTATTATTTCTGTCTTACATTTCTTTATTGTTGCTATAGCGCAACATTCGTTCTTTAAGAACAGCTGCTAGTAGGCCTTTCCTAAAAGGTACTAATAATTTCTTGAATATGGGAGTTGAGGTTCGTATTTTGNGGTGGTAGGGGTATTAAACAAAATTCTATACGGGGACGTCCAATCACTTGTCCCGTTATATACCATTTCGTACAGACAAGGTAACCCTTTCACATGCCTTCCAAAGAAGATATACCGATTGCTTTGTTGTTTTGTATTCTGATTGGTCATTGTGTCATGTCCGTTTGTTTTGATTGGTCAGATCAGATTATTCCTTTGGTCTTTTGATATTAACTAGAACAGCAGTCAATTTTCCACAGAATTGAGACGCGTCGACCTTCAATGCCTACAATAATGCATAGCACACTAAAACTGAAAGTTAACACAAATAGCCTGTTAACACAAATAGTTGTAGCTCATAAATTTAATTCTAAGCAAGGTAAAAGCTGTTACAAGCTGTTACATTAACATGCAAATAAACATGGGTGTAACTAGGACATAATTAAATTATGACTGATTTGCAGAAATCTATCTAAAAAAATACATTGGATCACAAATAAAACAACTACCAGCCTCATTTGTTTCAAGCTGACAAAAGATCCACGAGTTAGGTAGCACACTGAGTGCGCTCGGTGCAGTCTTCAATCATTGTCATGTTATTATTTCTATCTTACATTTCTTTATTGTTGCTATAGCGCAACATTCGTTCTTTAAGAACAGCTGCTAGTAGGCCTTTCCTTAAAGGTACTAATAATTTCTTGAATATGGGAGTTGAGGTTCGTATTTTGCATTCGTCAGGAGGAGATGCATCAGATGAATCAGAATTATTTTGCGTTTATTGAAAAAGAAAGCCTTGCTTACCCACATTCAAGACACTGTGGTACTTTTGGAAAAGCGTACTTGTATCTGCGAGTACTGAAAGCAAATAGGACTAAAAGAAACCTCTAGTATGTCAAATCAGAAGCATATCACCTCGACGAGGTGATATGCTTCTGGTCAAATATATACACTGAATATTTCTTGTTTTGGTAAATAAAGGATACACTTTAACTTGATTATGGAAGGGTATATTTAGGAAGAGAATGTTTTCTTCCCCACAAGCTGCGAAAAATCACATGAAATTAATATAACTTTTGTGCTCTTAGCCGAAAATGTTTCCGCTAAATCATTATTTAGAAAACAAGGAGCAATTGGACAACTCGCCGACTATTAGCAGAACATTCGACCTTGTACCTTATTACATGAGAATTTCGCGACACGTTAATCTCGCGAATATCGCGATTTAAAAAAAAATCGCGAAATTAAAGTGACGACAGCAATAAGTGTCGCGAACACAACATGATCGCATGACGCGAAAATTAAGTAACTAACATTATGTTATTGTTAACGTATAGTCCCGCCGTTGCGTTTTTGTTACTTTTGACGTTACTGCACCTTTGATAAAGTCGGTTTACTAAATTCAAGGACATGTTTGAGTAACATTGCCAAGGAAATAAATTGTGTTAGCCGAAAACGCGAAGTTAGAGTGATTCAAAATACATAATTTTTGCAAAATCGAGGAATTTATGTGTCGCGAAATATGCGCACCTCAAAATCGCGAAATAAACGTGTCGCGAAAATTTCATGTAAAAAAGGCTAACTGATAAAAAACAGCTCTAACGTTTACGGGCTATAAGAATCGATATTTCTTGTCTCGGAACAAAAGGCCAGTAAACACATGCATATAGAATGGCCCTTTATAACTAAACCAACAGTAAAGTGGCAAGGCAATAACCTGCTTTAGGGGGGTTGGACGCCAACTGATCCGGAATCCGGATCCTTGCGTGTGTATCGTTCTTGTGGAGCCTCGATTAATTCAATGACTTCACCGTCAACTCCCTGTCCACCTTCTTCCATCTTGGATTGGTCAGCATCCATCAGCTCATCACGTGACAAGTGATCTACTATTCCGGCTCCAATTGCATCTCCAAGAACATTAACCACAGTTCGGAAGCGATCCCTATAGGATGAAAAAGCGTCCGTCTTAATGCGTCAAGTTTTCGAAATTATTACGTTTTCAAGATTTCAATATTTTAATTGTTGAGAATAAGAATCGATATTTCTTGTCTCGGAACAAAAGGCCAGTAAACACATGCATATAGAATGGCCCTTTATAACTAAACCAACAGTAAAGTGGCAAGGCAATAACCTGCTTTAGGGGGGTTGGACGCCAACTGATCCGGAATCCGGATCCTTGCGTGTGTATCGTTCTTGTGGAGCCTCGATTAATTCAATGACTTCACCGTCAACTCCCTGTCCACCTTCTTCCATCTTGGATTGGTCAGCATCCATCAGCTCATCACGTGACAAGTGATCTACTATTCCGGCTCCAATTGCATCTCCAAGAACATTAACCACAGTTCGGAAGCGATCCCTATAGGATGAAAAAGCGTCCGTCTTAATGCGTCAAGTTTTCGAAATTATTACGTTTTCAAGATTTCAATATTTTAATTGTTGAGAGAGAGATCGTGCACATAACAAAATAGCTGTGATTTTGTCTTTTTAAAGACCCAACGGGGTAATTATTTTAAGATTAAAAAACTGTAAAACTTGGAGCAGATTTCAGTTGAGTGTCGTAAAACCAGATCCAAAGTAATCACTTGACTAATCGCAAAGAATGCAGACAATCCAGTGAACCAATCAAACCTCGAAGTAACTGCGCGTAGCTGACGCATATCGCGGGAAAAAGAGTGAGAACGAGTTTACTTCTGAATGGATGGAAAAGTTTGCGCGCGTTTTATGAGCCAATTATGTAGCGTAGTTGAAGCACAACAAATTACTATTCGACACTCAAATAAAAACCTCTCTAATGCAGAAGTCCTTACATGAACCAGTCAACGGCCCAGAGTAAAGCCACATCGCCAAGCGGAAGATTGACAGCTTGCAGCACGAGTAACATGGTAACCAGGCCTGCAGATGGAATTGCGGCCGCTCCTACAGCCGCAGCCATTGCGGTCACCCTGACAAAGAAAATAATGATAATGTCACAGAGCCAATACTAACTGCCAACATGATCATTGCAACACAACGTAATTGACTCGTTAATTGAAATAAAGCCTCTCTTAAAAATTAAGCGTTATATTATCATTTCTACTTGGTTTACCACTTTACTTGTCACTTGTTTCAGCAGCTGAAGGTCACGTGAAAGTTATTTGCGCTTTAATTTCGTGTTAAAAACGTCATTCCGAAAAATTAACAGTCAACCGTCAAATCGGCTTGTTGTTAACCGTCAACCATCTAAGGGACCCCCACTGAGACCCTGTGAGTAAGTAACGTGGTCTTTTTGTAGACCTGTCTGTGTGTGTTTGGGTGTGAAAATTGCAAAAGAAAGAGAGCCAATGAGTATGCTAGCTCGCTTAAGTGGTTAAACAGGTGCTAAATAACAAATAAGTGAGGAAAGCAGACAATTGGCAAAGATTTTACAGTGTAAATTACTTTATGAACGTTATTTTCTTTCCTCGTTGTCATTGTCATGATTGTCGTCGTCGCCGTCGCTGTCGTCATCATCATCAGTGCCAACGCCGCTTTCGTCGTCATCGTCATCACTATTACACCTTGTTAGTCGTTGTTCTTTTCTTTTGTTCAGTTTTGATTTGTTCTGTTTTAGCGCCTCTTCTACTAAATGACCAAAACATTCTCAGGAAAATACTGTAAATGCTTTGTCTGTACGTTACGCCACACTTACACAACAGTTATAACCCTCCCAGGTCCAAGACTGATACCATGCAGCTGCGCGATCCAAAGGGCACACACGCCTTCGTACAGAGCCGTTCCATCCATGTTGACGGTGGCACCCAGCGGAAGAACAAAACGGCTGATACGCTTGTCCACATGGTTGTACTGCTCCAAACATTTTATGGTCGTCGGCAAAGTAGCTGCGCTGAACAATGATCAAATCATAGAACGTTTGTAAGATGATTGATTATAAGCGGTGCGCTGTCCTAATGTACTACTTATGCACCGGCTGAAACTTCCTACGAAGGACATCTTTTGGATATTTTCATTGTTCCTTTCTGAGGGGAGTGCCCGTTATGGAGTTAGAGATTGCGTGGCTAGAACCACTGCTAAGTATTCCCTTTTTGATATATTAGTTTAACTCTAAACATTTTTGATTTTAAAGACCAGAAGTTTTAAATTGTTGTTAATAGAAACCCAAGAGAAGTGACCACAATAGGCTGCATTGAACAACCAACTGCTAGCTAGAAACGTGACAATAGCAGCAGCAAGAAAAACAACTTACAACCACCACCAAAACACGCGTACTATTTAGATTCCAATCATTAGTACATAAAAGAAGATTGTGTAACTAACCTGGAGTCCGTGCCATATGCTGTTGCGATGGCATCAGAGAGGTTTTTGATGTATATAATCGGGTTTTTCCTCGTAAATATAAAATAGACAAGTGGCAGGACGATCACGCCGTGTATGAAAAGACCGGCGACCGCGGTACCCATGACGTAGCCCAACATCTCAAAAGCTTGTCCAATATCTCCCATGCCAGCTAGCTTGGCTGCTATTAGACTACAAATTCCGATGGGCGAGAACCTGGTGAAGACAAATATAAGTTAAAAAAAAAAAAAGAAAAGGGAAAAATCAATGACTTTGAGACTCGGAAGGTTGTTAGTGGATTATGGACAAACTGCTCAAAGCGGAGGGTCTAATTAAGTGATAAGATATTGTTACGGCAATGGTCGTAAGACGTTACTCATTATTTAAATTGCAACAGAATTATAATTATTGGATCTATACCGCGTGTCTGACAGTTCGGGGAACAATTTCTATTCACACGGAACGGTTTAAAATGACTGACGCACGTCGGGAGCAAAACAAGTCCATTCGAAATCGTTGTTATGTCGTTGGCAAGTTTTGATCATCAGTCCTTGTTGCGAGACCTTTTAAGCAAGTTTTAATACACAATTTAAAGAAAACGAAAACTTTAAACTTCTTCTTGTCACGACATTTAAAGGCGATCAGTCAAGATATTTTAAGTTGTCTGGCCACGCACAAAATTATCTTTAAATTGAACGAAACCCGAAAATAATAGTTTACTGAGATAGAAAATACCAAATATATTTTAACTAATAATAAACTAAAATGAAGCAGAGATCGTTAAGGGACGTAAGGATGGAGAAGATTGACAAGGATTTCAAACGTTGGAACACTTAGCGATAAATCACAAAAACATTTTGGAAGCAAAAACAGCTTTAATTTTAAATGGCCGCACGGGCTGCTTAATTGACCAATCGTGCACAGCGCGCATAGTAACTAAGTTATATAAAAAGTTCCTTTAAATTGTCGTACATTATATTGCAAGATTACAAGTATGCTGAAGTCCTTACCACATGACCAGTGACACCATCTCCATAATTATTTCATTGAGTGACTCGAAAAAAGCCTTCACGGGTAACCCACGCTCTCCAACTCGTCCCAACACGATACCAAACACAATGGAAAACACAACCAATCCCAGAACGTTCATATTTCGGGCAGCTATTTCTAGTCCCGCGGGAACAGTATCAGATCCCGGAACAAGTTCCTCTTTAGCCATTGTAAAATTGACTGTCCCGTTCTCCCCGTTCACTGTCTTGTTGTATTCGCGAAAAACTGGATCGACCGTCTTGTATCGCGTTCTTTTCTGTGAATTAAAGAAAATTTGGGAACTTACTTCATGGTTGGTTATTGAATTGACGTACTCACTACGAAAGTGTGACGTCATAGAAAATCATCTGTTTTTCTTGTGTTAACTAAGCTTATCGTCAAAGGGAAATGAAAATTACCGTCATCTAGCTATGTGTAGAGGATAATGGAAGCTAAAACCGTTCGCTGGGAATACAATTGGAGTAACGAAGGTCTGGATGGGGTTAACTAATAGCTGAGAATTGGCTGACATTTCAAGTGTCAGTCAAGACATCGCATTTTTTTTACTAGCTCAAAAACGTTGAGAAATAGTTTGAATGTTACGTGGAAATAATTTACTTTCATAGGGGTTTTATTGAATTAGCTGAGAGCTAATAGCTGATAGCGCGAAATGGTTCAAGAATTTAATCTCAGGTGTTTACTGTCGAAACAACATATGATTTATAGTAACTTGAAACGAAAATATTTGTATAATATATATATGTAAATAAACTATATCTGTTATCATTATAACATCTAAATATTTGTTTTGGTATTTTTTTTGTTTTGTGACATAGCTAAAAAAAAATACTACTAAATCCATGACCGGAAAAGCAAGTCGCGAGCCACTGTTAATACATAACTCCTCCCTGTGGGATTTGGGTTCTTTGTAGGGGAGGGGAAGGTAGTTTTCGGAATTAGAACCGGCAAGAGAAAGTTTAACTTGGAACATTTGACCTCAAGTCAAGAGTACACTAATAGCTCACCTGTATGAAAGACGCTTCCACAATGTTTACGGGAAAACAGCTCCTGTAACAAAATCACGGGGAAGATCAAAGTTCAAATAGAAAGACTAGAGGGCAGTTTTAACTTTAAATAGCGTCTCCACAGACAGCAGACTGTGCCCACGCCAGCTTGGATTCTGATCAAAGTGCTTTATAAGCAAACCCGTGAGTCTCCCAATGAATGAAGATTGACATAAGCTAACCTTTGCGTTATATGGAATTATTTTTTTCGTAAAAAAACGCTTATGATTTAAAGACGAAAATTTGCAATAACTAAAAGTTATTTAACTGAAAATAATGATTCTGACAGTAAACTTTCACAAAGATCTTTTCTTCGGATTTCATACCCATAGCAGAAAGGTCATTTAAAAACTGTTTACCGACGTAGTAATACATAAGTCGTGACTTCGCAGCATCTACACCACCGTTGCGTGACGTACGCCCGAACGATTAAGATCAACACTTTACCCGGCTATAAACAAATGGACCGGAAATTTTAACAAACAATTAATCTGAATTATTTAAACTGAAAGTTATAAGCTGCCACTATCCCTTTCCCTGATCAACAAATTAATCAGAAGTTTAAACAACCATTTTAATTTGAGTTATTTGCTGACTTATTTTTAGCGTAACATTCGCTGTTACGAATTGACACACGTTATCCTAGAGATGTCAAACGATGTATGCGCCCGCAAAACAGCGGAATTGCCGTGGGAAGTTAAAAGATGATATGATCGACCGACCCTAATTTGCATAATCTGATCCCCGGCCCACTTCAATCCGTAAACCTGCTTACGTAATGATTTACGGGTTAAAAAACGTCAGACAGTAAAAGTTTTGGAATTCTTTACAAAGCTGTTAGTTGCAAATTCGATGATAAGCTGTTTCCCAACTCGACCGCACTTTCGTCAGACATTGCTGGTTTTTTTTTTACAAAATGTTGGCTTTCTTGTCATGAAGGGTAACATTTGCTCCTTTCGAGTCTGCTGAATAACGTTTTATGTACACTTGCATAGCTTTTGCCTGAATATTATGTTTAAGTTCATCGAAAACTTTATTTAATTTGTTGGTATGATATCTCTCCCATGGGTTAAAATAACTAGGATGACAAACATTAGTCACAATAATTGATATGGCCGTCATCTTGCAACACAAACCAATCAATTCGACCAATCAGATCGCTTTTTTTTTCCGTTGAAATATTTCCCCAATCCTGACAACGCTTTTGTGGTTTTATGGCTTAAGTACTTTTAAAAAGAGGTTAATTCACGAAGCAACATACGGCTCTATCCATGGACACAAGTATCTCATCTCGTGCACGGTTCAAGATGTTATCTCGCAGACATCCGCCATTTTTATTTGGTGCAGTATACGTAACAAAACTGACCGCTTCATCCCGGTGTAAAAGTTTTGTTTATGCTCGCAAACATCTGCCCACGTTTGGTGCGTGGTAACAAAACTCACAACTTTTGATCTCAGTGTCAACAATTTTTGTTTGTCTGTTGATTTAAGTTCTTTTGTTTACATCACAGGTACTTGGCTTGATTGCACCCCAGTCCCGGACTAATTGAATACCAATCAATCAGTCCTGGTCCCAATGTTGTTCTCCTGAGAGTGTTCTAACAATAGATTAGTTTGCAGACGGAAAGCGCGCAATCACAAATCGCATATTCTATTGTGATCAGTTGTAAAGGTTCAAATTGAAATTGGCACTGTTGTATTTTGGCTCATTTTGGTCTTATTACTGAATTGCCAGTTGGTTGAAAGCGAATAAATCACGCAGGTTGTTTGGAAAGGCTTACGAGAAAGGCACTTACACATAATGAATTGGGTAGCTTCTGGTAAATTAAAAATTGTTGGTGTTCATAAATGTGTCATCCATTGCCAGCTGGTACATTACTGCGATTACTTACAGCAAACTATTGTCATGCAAGAAATGTGATACAAACACCCGCCTGATCGCATTTAATAGAAATATCCCAAATATTCACCGCTTGAAACCGTGAGCAAGGTAGACGATATTTTTGAAATGTGAAATGTGATATTTTTGAAAAGCCTTATGTCCACCCTTTGGGCTCATAAAGATGCCAGTATCCGATATGATTCAACGTTTATCTCGGTATGAAATTGTTTTAATTCAGGGCATAGCTTGAGACTTGCCGGAGTTTTGAGCAAAAGAAGCCTGCATAAGATTCTATTTCGCTAGTCACGTTAACAACGAAATATAAAGAGCCCTTCACGTGTAAAAACAAAAGCGCGCAAAGCGGTTTGTCGTTAGCCTGTTATTTCTTAAAAGAGTCCAAAAGTAATGGGGTATTGTATCACAAGGCGCCATTAAGCGGGAGGAGGATAGCAACGACATATCACTATTGCGCTTTCAACTTTTCACCTAAACAAATACTGCTGTGGAGTCAGTGGAAGGGCTTCTGGAAAATATAATCAGCCATTTAACATCCGGAGAAAAATGATTTGTAAAAATTGTATGGAGATTTAACAATACCCTTGAGGACATTGCATAACTTTCTTGGCTATGTAATAGTAATCACATTCTATTACTGTTTCATTATGGTGTTGGATATACAGAAACGGCCGGAAGGTATAAAATTTACACTCACCTGAGAAGATCGAGAAGAGAATCCAGACCTCGATAAGGTCTCGTCGGAGGTGGTTCTTCCGAGTCTTCAGGTCTGCTGCGTTCGCCTGGGCGAATAGCTACAACCAAGACAATTCCAAGTAAAACAGCCATCAACATCGTTCCAAGGTAGTAAATAACAGTTCGACGGCCGATTCTGCCCGTCGCTTTGGAATCAAGCGTGGCAAGCGCTGTAATCATGCTTGCGACGATGAGCGGCAGAATCAAAAGCTTGAGCATGTTCATGAAGAGCTCGCCTGGAAACCCGATCAACATAATGGCAGTTGCTTTCTTCTCCGGGTCTTTGATAGCGTTGACCGACTCGTTGACTGCTGCTCCGACGGCAAACCCAATGATTACACCCACAATGAGGAGAACAAGGAGTAAATCTTTGCGAAGACGGCGTAAAACGGCTCCGCAGCATGAGCGAAAGCGTCCGTTCGTACCTCGACCCATGGTTTCTCGTAGGTATGCGATCTGTTATAAGATTTGAGACACCTTGGTCGGACGTAATTTAGCTATAATGTTCGGCCCTTGATTCATACAAAACAACAACAAAATCAATTCTTTGCCTGGTTTTAGATGCTTTGTTTGCGATTCAACGTGGCACGACCTTGTCAGTTGTTGATATAAGCTGATGTAGCTAGGAATTCGTATTTGTCAGTCACGGTCGTCAAGCACTCCATGAGAACGGGGGATGGGGGTGGGGAGGAAGGGGGGCGGGATACAGCTAAGGGATAAATGGTCATAGCGTGGCGAAGTGCCATAATTATTGAAGAGAAAGGCAGGCTCTTCTTTGGTCGTAAGGTCATGAGCGCTATGTAAAAGATGCCTTTACTCGCCTTACTCTATCTATCCTGAAAATCTTTTTCATATCCGATGAAAACAAAAATCGAAGGTCGACGTTCTGCCATTTAATATGTTTGTAGAGTGAACGCCTGGCATAAATAAATGACTAACAACATAACAGGATGAACATAACGACACAACGAAAAAAAACAATATATATTTATTTCCTTATGTCTTTACATCGATGTACACATTACCGACAGAAGCGATTATGTGTCGTTATGTCATTTTTTACGATAACTGCAGAAATTCTCGCGCGCTCATTAGCTAATTTCAAGAATTTTCATTATCAATAAGCGGGCGGACACATTAAAGATATATTAAAGAACAGATTTATTTCTAACTACTTTATGTTAGTTGCATTTAGTTCACCTGTTAAGTTCTCCAAAATAGTTTTTCCAGTGTGAAATTTTGTGCAAAAATTAAAGTTGTACTACAAAAACAATTTCGCTCAGTCGTTGCGAATCACTTGAAAACAGACTTTTCTACCGCAAATTGAACATCAGAAAGCGAGGAAATTCGTTAAGCGTCTTCCACAGAAATTCTCTTAAATACAGCAACGATCAGAGAGATAAACTCTACTGAAATTGACTCATTTTATACTTAAAATTTTACCGTAAACAAACAGAGGATTACACGCCATTACAGCGCCAAGCTACAAGCAACCACACAGACCAAACAAGCTCTCACAATTTCAAAACACTCAGCTAAATTTACTTGCAATGACTTTCCTTGCCATTTAAAAGTGAAAAGAGATAAACTTGCGTTGATTAATCGTCAATGAAAGTGTAAAAAAGGCAAAAGATTGACGATTAATTACTGCTACTTCGTTCATGAAAGTAGATCAACTCGACCATTCCGCCCGGCGGATGGAAAAATTTCGCCCGCTCCCGGAACCAATCAGATTCCAGGATTTGTTGAATTCCGCCCGCTCACGAACTGAGAATGAAAAAAAAAAAAAAAAAGTTGTTACGATAACCTTCGTTCTTATTGATGTCGTTATGTTTATATCGTTATGTGGCTAGTGTGAACTAAGCTTTATGACCTGAAGGTAACAGTTGTCGTTCAAGCCCACCACGCCACTGAGCTTCATTGCTTGATTACGGCAAAGGACGAAATTTTTTATGCAGTATTGGATAACACCGGGATCAATATTTGCCACGACCTATAAGTCCAAGACTTTTTGACTTAATTTTTCAGTGTAGCTACGAAATTTATTCATGAAGCATGAAAGCGATATTTTCAAAATTTCAGGTATGCATGCCACAAGAAAATTAAATTTTTCTCAAATTGTGGCGTGGCCTAACACAATCTCGTTCCCAGAGTCTTCGTTCCCCTTGACCAGCGGTCAGAAAACAAGGAAGCTGGGAGCAACCCTTTCAGGCATGCGCCGTAGATGTAGACTGCGCAGTGAAACCGGATAGGCAGAATCACCAGAATTCGGTTATTTCAAAATGGTTGCTCCCAGAGCTCTTGTTTTCCGACCGCTGGTGAAGGAGAACGAAGACTCTGGGAACGAGATTGGGCCTAACATGATCATTTTTTGTAATACATCATCTGCGCATAAACAGCAACTTAAGCTGTTTAACGACATAAAAATAATAAAATAATAATAATAATAATAATAATAATAATAATAATAATAAGTAAAATAAATAATAATCCTAAAGTTTAAATCGCGGCACCTGAAACAATGTTCAAATCTAATACTACACGACGAAAACTATACATCCTTTGTTGTCTCATTACATATACTCGTCTACAAAATAGGGGGAGGGGAAGGGGGCGCTTATTCGAGGAGGCACTTATTTCAAATTGAAAGTGGGCGCTTATTCGAGGGAGAGCGTTAATTCGAGGGTTTACGGTACTCCCCCGAGTATCCGCTGGGCATGTGATGCAGATGATTGCACTGTACGCGTTGCACAGTTTAGGTTCCTATCCAGCAAAGTATTCATGAGTGTATATCGTATTTTTTTCGTTCAACTATGGTCGTGTGTAAGCACTGGAAGCGAAAAAAAAGGACTTAGAAACAATCTGTTCTTTTCCAAAAGGAGGATGTTGCATTGTGTTTGTTATTCCAAATGTAACCAATCGATGACATCAATGACATCACTGAAATCAATGTCACGCCAGAAGACAATGATTTGGTGCATTCAGTTGCGTGCACAAGCGTCTGTGAATACGGAAATCAAATATCATTGACCCACACATCAAGGACCATAGCGCTAAAGAGTCTAAAGAGCATCTGATAAGTCACGTTCATCAAAATGGTTCAAGCCGCTGGTTTATGCGTAATAGTGGGTTTTGCTTCCGTTACTTTAGCTTATTCTTACGGTTCGACGAAGCATCTGAAGGACATCGTGCTTGGTAGATGCTGGGATTTCCAACGGCAGAAAGTGCAGGAGGAAGCCAGGAAAAACTGCTCGAAGATTTGGGACACGTTTTACACGGCGTTTGCCTACAAGGATCCGTGTAACACTACATTCGAAGATTATAAGCCGTATTTTGATGAAATTGGCATGGATATAGTCAAGCCGAACAAGGTTAGTGCATAACTAACGACATTATAGTTGATCCACAATCACTGATCACTTGACCTCGTGATTGGAAAGACACATTGTGGGAGCAGGTCCAAGTTTAAGATTTCTTTTAGGTTTTTTTTAGAATGAGATTTTGCATTTTCCGGTTTATTTATAACAATACAATAACTTGGTGTATTGTGAAAGGGCGATAATTAATTAACGCGCGCGGTCGAGCTTTTCAACGTAAATTAATTTGTTATTTATTTATTTTCGGAAAGAGCAGAATTCTAGTTTTCAGGTGTATATCTTACCAGCCTCGTGATCGGTAGGTAAATCCTCGTGACAAGAAGTTTATTTTAGAGGTTATTTCTCGGAATATGAATGTACAATTATGCAATATAATGAAATTGTACATGGTTGGTTGTAGAGGAAGCATGTCACTATGCCTACCTGTTAGCGTTTGAAATATTTATTCAATTGACTACGCGTTTCATTTTTTATTGTCTTACGAAAATTTATTCATTTGCTACTATGTACAGCACTGTAACACGAAAATATATCGACGTCGTGATATTTGTGTACGAGGATAGCGTGACGCGAAGTGTTTGGGTTCTGAGTGGGTTATGTAAATCAGCGTTCACAAAGCAGTCTGCAATATTGTTACAAAAATTGTAAATTTGCATGCACTACCGTGACAAAATATAACAAGCTATAATTGAAACGGGCTACACTATTCTACACTATTCCTCATGAAAACAGCAACTAACGAGAAAAATGTCATAGCACACCAAATTGTTCTCTGTTATATTCCTCATATGTTCGCAAGGTTAGTTTTCCTTTCAAAGAGCCAAGTGGCGCTTCAGGCCGGAGCTTATCCCGGTTTCTGTAGCATGAAGCGACTAGGAGTATTTCTACTCCCCCCTGGATGGGATGCTAGTCCATCGCAGGGTTACCCCCAGCATTATGTTCGCCGCTACCCATGTACACACCTGGCTGGAGAGAGGCACTGTGAGAGCAAAGTGTCTTGCCCAAGAACACAACGCAATGGCCCCGGCGAAGGCTAAAACCTGGACCGCTCGATCCGGAGACGAGCGCACTAATCATGAGGCCACCGCGCCTCCCACTAATCCAGGGATAAAACTTGTTTCCAATCGACAAGTGAACCTAATAACGCACAAAAACAAATATGCATGGTTTAAGTTCGTTCCAAAGTATTTCAATTTTAGAAACCGATTTCTTTTTTCTAGCTTGTACTTTGGAATTAAAAGGAATCATTAATTAACGACATTAAAGTTAATTATTAATTATTCTGTTTTTAATTTTTGTGTCACGCTTATTGACAGAAAGGATTTAGCTGATTTCTTGACTTATGTCGCCCCAAATGAACATTGCGTGAATTTTGGAAGATATCTTATTTATTATTTTCTCGGAAGTAAAAACGTTTTAGATATCTATTGCTTTAAAATCCGACGACGGTTGGTTTTTTGCACACTTCAGCAAACAAAACCTCAGAACAAACCTTGTTTTAGCTCACTGACGTTCAAAGCAAAGGAGTGGAGCCAAATTGTCTCACATCCTAAAGATTCAGTGCTACCCGAAGCTTTTCATCATTGAGACAGAAACTCAGCAACCACGTGACTTTGCAGAGTTGGTGCAAAGTATCAATCGGGCGTGCGGTATAATTTTGTTTAATATGTTTTCACATGTTGTAAACTGAGTTTTATTCCACACAGAGCCTCTTTTGGTCAGGAACTTATAAAGAGGCGCACCTGTTCTCAGATTTCGATGCCAGGTTCACGACATTGGAAGATACAATGGCAGGGTTAGTGCTACTGAACGTAATTCACTTTCACTGCCGATACAGTCCACGTTAACGAGTGTAACTAAAATTAAAATTGCGTATTATATCTTGCATGTGTAGTAGCATTCTCTGGTTAAGAATTTGATAAAATTAGGGCTTTCGGCTTCCAATCTAAAGCCTTAAAAAACTAAAATGTCGAAATTTCCTTTGCCAATTACACTGGCGATGGATCATTCGTGGAGAGGAATAGTAGGACCTTTTTTGCATGATTGTTTTACGTTCCGGATGTGTTCTGTTATTCTTTCACCAATACAGCTCCACGGACAGTCGGCACAAGGAATTCTATCACTTTATGGGCTACATTAGTCTAAAGCGATGGGTAGCCTGAACTTTGGAGAACGGAATTCGTGTAGTAGGGTTCGAGGAAACTTTCGAGTTGGGAAAACTGCCAACACTACCCTACCCCCCCTCCCCTAGTCTTTTTCCAATTTTAATAAGGTTGATAAGACAGAAAATATTAAGGCACCATTTAGAAGCACTTTTCTCTTATTCTTTTTCTGCTCAAATTAAATCATGATTAGTAAGCCCGTCAGAATTTGGTAAATATAGAACATACATGTAGAAACTGCAGTAAATTTCCCCACAGTATTACGAAAAAGGTACTGACATTTATATTTTTTGTGTATGTAGCACTATTAACTCTCCGCTAAGCACACAGTTCTAATAGGCCCTTTCTTTGCTGAATACTGAAGGTCCACCCCTCTCCCTCCCCCAAACCAGATTAACCTCTAATTAAATTCTTTCTGATCAGGTGGATCGTAAACGGCTTGACTTGGTGTGGTACTGAAGCCAATAAGACTGATGGTATTAATTATTCTTCCTGCCCGAACATAACAACTGGTTGCGATTACCCGACGCCATTTTGGGGCCAAGCTTCGAAAAGAGTAAGTTTAATATAATTGCTTGTTCACCATTGTGTGCTCATTTGAATGGTGTTCTGAAAGCGGGGAGGGGGAGGGGGGTGGGGGAGTGAAGGGGAGGTGATTAGTGAGTTGAAAATGATATTTGAGTATACACCCTGAAGGTGGAGGGGAGTAGAGGGAGAGGAGTACTATGTAAATCTTTGGGTAACCCTTGCCCCATACTAGACTCTGATCAACTTGATTTTGCAGCCCTATTCGAGGCTAGACAGCAAAACTAGCTATTTTCCATGCAAAAAATAAAAAAAAAAACTAACGTAGTCCAACATACACTAACTAAACCAATATCATTCTTACAAAGTCACTTCCGAGTTTCAATTTCTATTATAGAACCTCGGGTAAAGAACCCTGTTCTACACTAAATTATTTATACACTCGCCACTATTTCGATAAATTATACCCTATTGACCAAATTATACCCTATAGACTAAAACTGTCTGATTTCTACACCTTATCCCAGACTAAACTGCCTTAAACCCATTCCCCTCATAGCGACACATACCTATATAACTTATATATGGGAGTAATCCTCCCTCCCCTGCACCACCCGGGGGTATGACCATATTCGTTATTTGTGGGTCTATTTCCTGATGAAAACTCTGAATAGAGAGAGAGAGGAAAAGGAAAGTGTTTCCTTTTGGATGACGTTATTTGTTTGTGCCAGTTTGAATCAAATAAGTTCTTTTTTTTTTTCTTTTACCATGTCCAGAAAAATAAAGCTAAACTATGTGCTCGAAGTTCTTGGCCGAATGGTGAAAACCAATTAATCTTTAGTTCCTGGTTGTGCGCTATCCGTTTACTACAAAGAACAACGTATAACTTAATTTCTAATTGCTTTGTCTCAGGTTTTTCTACGGCTGGAAGCTAGAAGCCCAGAATAAGGGTTTGACTACTGCCCTAGTAATGTATCCTGAACGTCGATTCCATAGTAGGCTCAGGAGACTAGCTTACTCTTCTTTTCGCCTAGAATTAAAATGGTTGCGGAGTTTTTTCCCAACAACTACCAAACGTTATGCAACCTTTGGTAGCTTTGGTAGACTTGTACTTGCAGAAAGCAATCTCCCTGTGCCTTTGACGCTCGCAAGGAGATCTTCTTTGATTCAGTTTCAAAAAATGTTGGCTCTCTTTATTTTTTGAAGTTTGCAGAAAAAGCAAGGGGAATTGTTCGTGTTATGGTAAATGGGACGCGGATGGAATCTGGGAAACGAATTCCAGCTTACAGAAACAATAGGTATTGACCTTTTCTCAGCCAATGTTTTAACTTAACATTTTCTAAATCTAAACCTAGTTAATGTACCTAAACTCAGTCCCTCTTTGGCAGCTAGCACCACATAATGCAACAGTTGTTTATCGCCTCTCACTCACCTCCCAACTTATGCATCATCTCGTTGTTCCAACTTTTGCCTCCAGCCATTTACTGATACATACTAGTTATGGAACGCTTTCGAGTGGTGTACCTATTCCATGGGATATTCCAGGTTAAGCAATAGACCACAAGTTTTTATGGTTTATAAGCTGATAAACCACGCGGAATGTTGGAAGAACACTCGAAGAATTTGTAAATCACTCGCCTGCGGCTCGTGATTTACGAATTCTTCGAGTGTTCCGCCAACATCCCAAATGGTTTATCATGCCTCTAAACCATAGAAACTTGTGGTCTATTGCTTTTATATAATAATTCAGAAGACACGCGAAATTTCCATGAGTCCGGCTACTGGCACAATACACCACAGCTGATTGACCAATCAGAGCGCGCGCATTTATTTGATTATTATATAAGTATACCACGAGAGAACGTTGCATAACTTTTTTATACCATGCCATGTAGAATACAGCGGCCAACACAACCGCTGTACATACGCGCGGCGCATGACAAGGTTGGATTTAACACCGTCGTAAACACAACGGCTTTCTTGTATTCTGATTGGATGTGCTTTCTATGGCATGGTATAAATTCCAGTATCGCTTGCGATCTTACTTTTTGAGTAACTATCAGTCAACCTCTATCAGTCTAGCTATCCATTCGTTTTTTGGTTCCTTTGATGTTTCTATATCCCACTCATTTATTATATACTTGCTAGACGTTAAAAAGAAGAGAAAAAAGGATCTACAATGATGTTTTTATTGCCCTCTTTTAACTTTTTAAGCTTCTTTGGACAATATGAACTGCCAAACCTTCAAGTGGATCAGATCATAAGGCTCCTAATCCTTGTGGTACACAACATCGACGGTCCAGACCTGTAAGTGAACATAATCCCTTTGCACTGGTTTTCTGATTGAAAAAAATATAAAAAATATAATGCCACAAATGATAACTTCAAAGCCACTTGACAGATAAAATTTGATAACTATGCTTTTCTGAGCAAAACCTCGCTGCTGTATAGAGATGGTTAAATGCTCGTAGAGATTCAACTTTACGTTTTGAAAAAGAGGACCCCCCCACACTCCCTTTAAAAACTAGGCGCGAAAAATTGGAGGAAAAAAATGCGCCGTCGAGACACCCTTTATACTAGAAAATGAAACCCCTTACTAGAAAATAAATGAATAGTCAGTTGTACCATTGTTAATAGAGGGGAATGGCTATGAAGCCCATTAAACATCAACGGAGGAATCAAAGATGCTAAGGTAATATTTGAAGGTCAACGACCGTGCACAATCTTTTGTTTTACGCTTGGCTATGAATGCATTGCGTAATCAAAACGTTTTTCTTGGTTGGTTCCTCAGTAAGAGGTAAACCGTAATTGTGTTTAGTGTACTGTTATGGCCAAAAATCAAACACAGACATACAACAAGAAGCTTCACATAACTATTGCCCCTCTTTTAACTATGGTTGCACGGAATAAACTTCCGCTTTTAAATTCGTATGTTTTATGGCATAGCTTAGCTAGACATGCTGAGGGTTAACCACTTGCTTACCTTTCAAACTTCAACACAATGGTAAATGTGGTGAATGTATGAGGATATTTTGATGTCTTGAATCTCGGCTTGCAGAGAAACATGTAATAATGGCTCGATAAAACTAATGCAAGAGGTTGCCAACAGACGGGGAATAAAAACTACATGTTTTGACGACCCAGAGTAAGTATAGTAGAAACGTTAAGCCGGAAACGTGTGGAAGAATTTAAACTGTGTAATCGTTGATTACAATGAGGTTTTATGGAATGACTGACAAAAATCAGACAAATACTCAAGCTTGTCAAGACATTGCTTATAGGTAGCCGAGCCTTAATAGCATCAGCCTATAGTTGTCGTATCACTAAGTGCGGGATGGTATTTTCAGCTCCTAGATAATTATCACCCACGCTAGAGGGACTGATAATAACAAATCATCCATGCAACTTGTAAAACGGTCGTGACAAGCAGAATCATGAATCATGAAATTAAAATATTTAGGGCATGCTGATTTGTGACTATTGCATTGCCGTGATCACCACAGTTGCAGTTGGATTTGCTTGTGGGCACTGCTGTAACTCTGACATAGTCAACAAATAGAGGAATTTTAAATCTATGCATGCATACATACAGATTGCTACGTTTTCTTATGTTAAAATTCATTTTCAGCAACTTTTATTTTAGTAATGATCTGCAGTCAATCAGTGAAATCAGCCATGGACAACCAGTTTGTCTTTTGGGAGAATGTTTCACCCATACTACCAGCTATCTGCTGTGTTTGAAACTTATTCTGTTTAAAATACCATCAACTGCTGATACGGGAGTTAAGTACGTTTATTTATTGCCTTTTCCAGTACTGTTCGACATCTTTTATGCGCTGATCACCCGACATCTCGCGAGTGCAAGTTCCTGAACAATGGAATAAGAAAAATACAGCCTGTAAAGGAATGCAGTGGGTAAGAGTTTACACACACACACAAAAAAAAACAACAACAGCAACAACAAACCAACTCAAATATTAGCAGTCGGAACGCTCTCCTTACTCTAGGAATGTCTACAAAGATTCATCCCATGCTTGTCAGAACATCAAAGTAATATTGTTAAGTTGGTTATGGTCTCACTTAATTTGCAAATGAATTTCCATGCCTGCTTTCCTCCTTTATTCACATCCAGTGAACTACTGAAAGCCAATCTTGTCTTATTCTTGTCCGTTTTGTTTTTCTTAGAACGTGGAAGCTAGTGGCCATTATTGCGCTGGTTATTGTCGCCGCTTTCTGTCTGATTTCAATAGTTATCGGAGTATTCTGGGTAAAACGACCTAAAGAGAATCATGGTGCTTCTTTTAATTACACAGAACATAAAGAAGATGCCTAATAAATTCCCTCAAAAAAAAGTTTCGCTTTCCACTTGAGCTATTCAGCCACTTAACTTTACTAAAGGAACTGTTTATTGCATGGTATCCGAGGGGGACTTCCATATGAAACAGACACCGTTGCTCGTCGGAATTTTGAAAATAACTCCTAAGAGGTACCAAGATCCTGTTTTGTGGGCGTGGCTTAAATTTTTTCTCCCCTAAGAAGAACCAAATCGTACATAACACATTATCTCCTGTCAT